GTAAAACCTTTCACTTTTCCATTGATAGTGGATATTCTGAGGTTCTGTTAGTCTTTATAGCCTTTCTAGGGTTGAAATTTTAGCTCAATGCACTTCCTGTGCTTTGAAATCTGTTTTTCTCTGTGTTCTACACATTTCTCACCTCACTTTCTGCCCCCATATAAAAGAGATAGAGAATAAAAGTCACAGAAGTTCATATCATTCTGGAAAGTGGGCCCAAAGTTCTGCTCTGGTTGTGAGGTAGGACTGGGTGACAGAGAAAGGAAATGTGTGAGAGAGGAAGTATGTGAGAGAACAGTGTCCTCACTGCCAGTCCTCTGTTCACATATTAGCAAGAAGTAGCCAAGAACAGGGTCTCCCTGATAATTTTTGGGACATTACCTTACTCATAATCTGTATTACACAAAGTATGTTGTGCCAGCTGCTTTAAGAAACACTCTTTAGTTTTTATTTTTTTTTTGTGGATGAACTAATATGGCATGTATAATTTTCAGTCCTTGGTAGGTTATATTTAATAATAATGAAGTTTCTTCAGTAGAGTCTATTGTACATGGGAAATTCACTTTCCAAGTCTGAAAGTGGCAGCCAAGTCCTCTGGCATGTTATTTTGATGAAAACTCAGTCACACGATCCAAAGTTACTCAGCTGAGATCCCTGAGGCCACTGCATGTGGTAACCTCAATTGCCCCACGCGACAGCTGTCAAAACGTTGTCTTTGTCTTATCTAGTCCCTGTTTGGTTCCCCCAGTTATCTTATGTGACCCAGGAAAAGAGATTTAGCAGATGTTACTGAGGTTACTAATCAATTTAACTCTAAAATCGTTAACCCAGTGGGCCAAAAAGTCCATGGCACCCTTAGAAACAGAAAGCTTTTCTCCCTAGGCTAATGATCTGTGTCTGTAATCCCAGCAGTCTTGGGAGCCTAGGGCAAGAGGATCAAAAGTTTGAGGCCTGGATAACTCAGTGAGACCTTGTCTCAAAATAAAAAAACAAAACAGGGCTGGGCATATAGTTCAGTGTGAAGGCCCTGGGTTTAATTTCAAGTTACACTGAAAACCTCACAAAACAAAACAAACCTTTCTCTGGCTGGCAGAGGAAGGAAAGCCAGTGAGACTTCATCTTTGACAATTCATACAAAATTTTTTTGCTTTTCAGATGGAAAGAGGGCTGTTAGAAGGAACACAGGCCATCTGGAGGAGTTACGGAGACTCCTAGCGGACAACCAGAGGAAAAAGTAACTGCTTCAGATGTGTGAGTCCAGCCCCAGAAACAACAATGTGTATCTGCATCCTATTCACTGTATAGAGGAACAGGGAGTGTAAGTCCAGGTTTGTGAACCTGAACCATGTTTGTGGATTTATTTTTCTCGTTTAAACACTTGTCAAGTAGTTCTCTTGGTATTTATTGGAAAGAAAGAATTCATCAACATAGTCAGATGAAGGTGAGTGTGCAGTGCACAGTAAGAAACCCACTCACCCTGAGAAGTGAAAGTCACAATAAGAGCTGGACTTGACTTCTGTTTTTTCTCTAAACTCGGTCCTGAGATGCTGAAAACTTGCCTTAAGCCTGGCATGGTCAGAAGATGTCATTGTCCATTGGGAGGAAACAACATTATATGAGAAGTTTGACTATCACTGCTTATGAGAAACAGAAACAAAAACCTTCCCAGCAGATGAACAATTAGTTTTGTCCATTCCTCTGAGAGAAGTGTGCTGAGAGAGCAGGAGGGGTAAATGAAAACTAAGGAAACCATAATTCTTGGTGACAGTGCCTTTAGCCCACACTCCAGGATCTTGCTGGGGACAGACTGTTCGGGATCCATAGAACTGACTTATGTCAAGTTGGTCATTCGGGGGTTTTCTGAGCTGCATGTGACCTGATTGCTGCTGTTTGGAATACACAGATGCTTGGAGTCTGTTTGAAGGCTGCAGCATGCAGATGTCAGCCTTCTCTGTCCTCAAGATGTAGAAAGCCTTGTAGTCATAGGAATTTCTAACTTTGAGCTCTGCCTAGGCTTTGAAATCCTCCACATGGTCTTATATACCTGACATTCCAACACTTGGGAGGCAGAGGCAAAAGGGTCACAAGTGTAAGGCCAGCCTAGGCCACTCAGTGAGAGCCTATCTCCACCCGCCACCCCATCCTCCTCTGAAAAAAATTTCTTCATGGTCCAGTGCCACAATTAGAAATTCAGGTACCTAGAATTACTGGTAGAGTCGGCTGAGATCAGACAAAGTGACAGACTTTATAAAAAGAATATACAGCTTTCCTGGCATTTGTTTGATAATTTTTCACTCACTTGAAAATGTCTTATATACGAAAATTTACACATAAATATACAACCCACATATTGATCCATATGGTCTTTACAAATCAATTAAACCACAAGAGCTTCTCTTTTTATCCCGAACTAGGAATGTATTGATTGACTCTGTCCTGTTTTAACGATTGAATCTCTTCAGTAAACTGAAGTTTCTGGTCACCATCTTATGTTTATTCCCACCACTTCTTTTTGCTCCTCATTTATGCTTTCCAACTTTAGTCCTCCTCGCTTTTCCTCTTCTTCAATGCAAGGAACATCTTTACCCTTTCTGTGGCTTTCTACCCACTTCTTTCTCCATATCCTTTCTTCTGCTAAAGGCTGTCTGCAGATGCCAGTCAATTACTACACTCAAAGTAGCATTGAAAACTTAAGATTTAGAATGACATTTTATTTATAAAAACATTGGAATCTGTTTAGACTTGTAAGAGAAAATTGATGTTAAAAGAAGAAAAGACTGGAGAGTCTGGCCTGTCTGAAAGGAAACAGAGAACAGAAGCCTCTTTTTAAACATGTGGCCTTTAGATATGATCAGGGCTAAGTATCAGAAACAGAGTCAGGCTTCTATGTGAGCAGAAGAATCAATTGCCCAAGCCCAGAACGATGGTGATACTCTATAGCAAATAATCACCCATTCCAGGGAGTTGAGGCAACACAAACTTAGCTCACAGTTTCCACAAACTCAATGTCTGAGCATGGTATGGCTGGCATAAGGCTAAATTTTTGTGCCAATTTATTTTTTATTTTATTTTATTTACTTATTTTGTCTTTTTGAGACAAGGTTTCAATATGCAGTTCAGGCTGATCGTAAACTCACTATGTAACCTGGGCTGGCCTCAAATTCAGGGCGATCTTCTAGCCTCAGCCTTCTGAGTGCTGGGATTACAGGCATGCACCATCACACCTGACTATGTGTCAGTATATTAAACTAAAGGACACCCGTAGAACTGGTAAAACAATTCTAGATGTAACTGTGAAGGTGTCTGAGAGAACACAATGTCCATGTATTTAATTACCATGGTGAGTGGGAATCATTTAATCTGTTTGAGGGCCTGATAGGAAAAAAAGGCAGAGGAAGAGTGAATTCTTTCTTTTTCTCAAACTAGGACTTTGATTTTTTTTTCTCTGACACTGAAGCCTTTGGACTCTGGGACTTACACCAGTCCTCCTCCATCCTCCACAAAGGCCTTCAGACACTGAATTATACCACTTGGTTTCCTTGTTCTCCAGATAGCAGATGAAAAATTGTAGGACTTTTCAGACCCCACAATCCTCATCATAAACCTCCTTATATTGTATCTATCTATTTATTCTGTACATTCTCTGGTAAATGCTCGCAAAGACTGCTGGGTTCTCTGCTCCGTTTTGCACAAAATTGAAATCAAGATGTTGGTTGGGTTGTATTTTACTCTAGAGATTTCCTTAGAGAAAGCTATGCTCCCGTCTGTCTCAGTTCATTGGCAGATAATATTTCCTTGCAGTTGTAGGACTCAATCCTTTGTTGCTTTGCTAGGTGCAGGAAAAACCCACTCAGCTGCCAGAGGCTGCACTCCAGTCCTTGAATGTGGCCTCCTCCATACACTCTCCCACACTTGGAATCTGTGACTTTGAGCAAGTTCAAGTCTCTTAAAGGTTTATCTGATTATAGCTCTGACGTGATATTTCCTCAAGTCACAGCTTTCTTCTGCACCAAAGAAATGGGGGCTGTTGAAAAGGTATGTAATACCAGAGGACAGGGAGAATGGGGGCCATATTAGAAGTCTTACTATGATATTTCATTTATAACACAGTTTGTAGGGTCCTAGACTGATGCCAGAAGACTAGGAAAAAACGTTGTGATTATTTTAAAATAAATAGAAAACATCACTGTGATCTTTGGGACCACATAAAAATCAGGAACTAGGGAACTAGGCAGAAACTGTCCTTAAGACAGACCATCTACGAGAGTCTTACGAGCTCAGTGAATAAGGAGTGAGAATTACAGTCAGATTAAAAGACTGAGGACAGAGTCAGTAGATGCAACCACTAACCTCTTCATTCACCCTAGTAGAAGGTGCAAAGCAGGCAGGAAAATCTGTATGCCCCACAGCAAGGGAACACAGGCTGCCTGAGTCTCCCTGCCTGCGCCAGCACCTAGCAGCACCCCAACAGCACATGCTTGATTAAAAACTTACTAAATAATTGTTCAGTGAATGCAGTGCACATGTGAAAGAGCATATCAGTAAATTATTTTTGCTCCAGCTGCTTGGTTATCCTGTTGAAATCTCCCCCACCAAACCAGGGCTCTAACGGAGGAGTGGTGTATTCACTTGACCTGCTGCTGGATTTATCAAATATGCCATAGATTAACAACCTCTCCCTATAAAATAATATTGTTTGTCTGATCTGGCTTTTTCTCTCCAATTCTTTTATCATTATTGCTCTCTGAAGTCCACACTAGGTACAGAGATTCCGGAGTTTTCCCGCTGTACTGACTTAATGAAGAAAAACAACTTTAGATTCTTTAAACAGAATTATTAAGGCGAAACACAGGAGCCAAGGCTGAGGCAGCGAGAACTTGAGCAGGCGCCGCTGGCTTGTGTGGCGCTGCTCCTAAACCACCTCAGGGACTCCTCTCCGCCTCAGAAGCCGCTCCCAGTGCTCCTCTCACCCCAGCTGTACGGCAAAGCTCTCCCAAGATGGCCGCACCCACAGGCACCGTGGGAGCCGCCATTGCAGCTGCGGCACGACCGCGGTCGCTCTGGTGGTGGGCGCCATATCGGCCTCCAGTTGCAACAGGATCCTGACAGAGCCAGCGATTGTGGACCAGAAGTGTGGGAACGGCCAACAAGGTCGAGGCCGGGCATCTGCCCGAGATGGCTGCATCTGAATCCGAGTGCAGCGGCGCGGTGAGTGCAGTAATGGGTCGGGGCAGTTTGAATCTCAGATGGTCAGTAATTGGCAGGTTTCCGTAGCTTGTGAAGGTAACATTTGGGAATTGCTGTCGCCGAGGGAGAGTCTTTGGGGAGGTCAGGGTTCCGAGGGATTTGGGCCGGTGCCAGGGTAGGGGTGTGTGGAGTCAGGGATGGACTGCTGATTTTGAGGGATCTGCGCAGATAGTGATGGCTGAAGCACTGACAGGTCAGGATTGGGACACCTGGGGGATCCGAAGTGGCATTCGTGATGTGTTAGAGGTTGGAAGATCTGTGAGGCTTAGGGATTTAGAATGTCAGTGGCAATCTGCGATTGCAGGTACCTGTGGAGATTAGAGACTGGACTGTGGAAGGGGGCAGTGTTGAGGAGTTCAAGGGGCTGGACAAGGAGAGCTGGAGAGGACCAGACCAGAGGTTGAGGCCTTGGCGGGTCAGTGACAGTACTGTTTGTGGAAGTCTGATTGGGAGTCGCTGAGAGTCAGGGATTAGTGTGCTCAGATGGGTATGGGGGAGCCTGGGTATAGGGTGGGATAGTGGCTTGTGTAACCTAGGGAGTCAGTTTTGAGATGTCTGTGGATATAGCAGAGAATTGTAAGTCATTTGGGGAGAAAAGATGATCAGTGATAATTAGGTGGTGTTCACTGAGCTTTTAGTGATGAGGTGGTTTAGTAGGAGCTGATGATTAAAGGTCCTCTACTGTTCTGTGATTTAGGATCCTGAAGGGACTGGGGATTTAGGGATTGCAGTGTTTAGTGATGGAAGATTTGTTAGGGATCAGTGATTGAAGGGTTCTGGAGATTAATGATTGATCTGTGATAAAACTATTTGGGAAATAGTAGTAGGGTTCCATAAAGTACTGGAAGTTTGCAAAGGTTAGTGGTTGATGAACATTTGGATGTCAATGTTTGGAAACCTGTAGGAACATACTGTAAAATGAATACTTATTTGGTGCCAAGGAGTGTTTTAAGTGCTGGATACACTAGGAACAGAGCCATAATCTCTCCCTCTATATTTTTGCAGTCTCACAATAGGGACAATCAAAAATAAACAAGATAATTCCAAGCAGTAGTAAGTACTATGAAGAAAGTAAAAGAAATAACGTAGAGAGTTATTAGAATTAGGGAGTGTATGATTTTAGCAAAGTTAGTCTTGGAAAACCTTTGTAAAGAAATGACAATTAGGCTCAACATAAATGACGACAAGGAGATTGCCATGCAGAATTTTGAAGAAATAGTGTTGAAGGTAGAAGGAATACCAGGTTCTAAGGGCTTGAGGTAGGAGTGAACTTGGTGTGCGTAAGAAACGGGGAGGATTAATGTTGTTGGATCATATTCAGAGGGAAAGTAGAAAGATGTGAGGTCAAAATGATAAGATTATCAGATCTTAGTGACTAGCATCAGACTTTGAATTTTACTATAATTACAGTGAGAAAGTATTGAGAAACTATGGAATTTAAGCAGAGGCCCTCTGGTGTGATTGATATTTAAAAAAAAAAAAAACACCATGCCCACTCTGAGAAAGATGGACTGCAAAAGGTCAAAGTAGGTACAAGAAAATCAGTTAGAAGCTTACAACAGTAGTTAGAAGGAATAGTTGACAATGGTTTAGAGTAGGTTGTAGCGGAAAGATGAAATCAGTTTCAGAATCCATCTGGGTATAAGCTTGTAGGACTTACTGATAATTGATATGGATCATAAAGGAAGAGGGGAATCAGGCTTTATATCTAGACTTCTGGACTCAGGAATGGGATGGATGATGATTCTATGTTCTGAGAAACGTTAGTAGTGTTGAAGACCAGAGTGGTAAAAGGAAATGAGAAGGGTTCATGAAGTGATTCTGTTTTACCCAGTCAAATTGCTCAGTATATATCCAAGTAGAGATGTTGACTAGCCATTAGATATATGATATAGAACGTAAGAGTGGCCTGGGCTAGGGAACTGTATTTGAAATTTTGCAGGATAAAGATGATAGTTCAAGATTGACTCACATCATGTAGAAAGAGAAGGCAGATAGGGGAACAAAAGAGGTATAAGGATGAAACCTGAGTCACTTTTGCATTCAGAGGACAAAAGCCAGAAGGAGAATGAGGTATGGTCACTGAGATAGGAGGAAAACTGTGCAGGTACGGTATCAGAGAATCTTGGAGAAGAATGCTTTTCAGGATAATGAAAGTAATCATCATATGCTCTTATGAGTTCCAAAATATGACCGTGGAGAACTTGACTTTGCTAAGATGTAGCTCAAAGATTATTTCAGTGGATTAGAGTTCTGTCAGGGGGGTGATGAAAATAAAATCCCATTGGATTGAGTTAAAGATACTAAGGTAGAAATAGAAAAGATAATGATTATGGAGAGTTTTGCTGGTAAAGGAAGGAAAGCAATGCACATTAAATGGGGAATGAAGTCAAGAGAGGGTTTTCTTTAAATTAATAACATTAACGCAACTTTCAACATCACTGGAAGTGATCCCAGGAAAAGGGAGAAGTAGATGATATAAAAGAGAAAGAGGTAATTGCAGGGAATTACCTCTTGAGAATGCAGCTGGGGCTGGGATGGAGAGTGCAAATAGAGAAACTAGACTTAGGTGAGAGAAGAAGGAAAAATTCTTTTCATTTCAACAGAAGGGAAGGTATACTTCATGAGGGTTTGGAATTGGTGATAGCACAGCAAGGTACTTCTTGTTTGAATTTATTTTCTTTTTGAAATATAAAACAAATTCATTAGCTGAGAGTGGCAAAGTAGTAGTTTCAGATTTGCTTAAAGAGATGATTTGAGGTGATCATTCTGGACAAATGAAAGGTTCATTTCCTCGGGATAAGTAGTAGTGAGAAAGAAACTACCTCTTGGGGTGAAAGTGGGCAACTATGGGTTAACAGTACAGCTAAGCTCCCTGTGAAAGCTGGTGGTTATGATCATAGTTATGTACAGAGACAGTTGTACTATGATGTCAGCAGAGTAGAATGGCCCTGGAAAGTCCTGCTGGAGATTCCCATTCCCTCTAACCACTGCTCTGCTTCTGTTCTGTAATCATTTCAGTTGGTGTTGCTCAGCAGTGAGACATTTTCCTGTAGAAACAACATAAAAGTAAAACCAAAGCCTTGTTCAGTGCTCTCAGGAGGTCACCTGTAGAGATGCTGGCTTTGTTGAATTGGTCCTTTTCAGTCCTTAGCCAATCAGGCTGAAAGTCTAGCTTAACTGTTGCCTTTAGACTACATTTTAGATGTATTGCCAAAACTCACTTCTGGAAGAATGAAACATATCCCATATGACTCCAATGGGAGGGGTCCCTGGAATGCTTGTGCTGATTTTGTCTGGAATTCATCGTGTGATGATTAGCTGATTTTGTTCTGAATTCTTTTGCTGTAATAAATCTTGAATCTATGAATACAGCCACATGATGACTCACATTAAGTCATTGAATCAAGAGAAACTAGTGGTTAAAGTCTGGTGATAACTCTAAAGGGATTTTGAAGATGATTTGAGAAATAGTTCAGGTAATCATTTACCTCATCTTCAGATCCTGAAGTACATAGATCATGGGAAATTCAAAAAGACAACTTCCACTTGAGACTACTCCAAAGAAGCAGGGTCCTCAGGTTAATTTTAGTTAAAACAAACAGGTGACAGAAATGGCTAAAGAGGTTGACAGGGATTAGTGATGCATGCATGATTGGTGGCCTGCAAGGGTAAGAGATTATCTTTAAGTGTCAAATAAACATATTTAAATCTGTATTATTGGTATCAAAATTCTCCAATAGCTCCTCCACTCACTTGCATTATTATAAAGCTTCATCATGCTTTAGTTTCCCCTCTGCCTCCAACTCCTCCCAGTAACATTCTTTTTTATTTTTTTTATATAATATTTCTTGATTTTAACAATATTGTTATGACAGTTCCATAAGCAGATTATTAAGGTACTTAGATTGAACTAGACATGATACTGGCTTTACTACTATTCGGAGCTTTGTCATATATTTAGTCTTTCTTAAATTGAGATTTTATTCTGATTGAATTTTTCTTTTAAAGATTTCCTTTTTCCTCTTTCCCTGCTTCTCTCCCCTTTCCTCTCTCACTCTTTCTTCACATCTAAAGCATGTAGGTAGTGTAATTTCTGTATCTGTTCATTCCTAAGATGTTTTACTTTTGCTTCTAAGCAAAATTATTTTTCAACTGATTATAAAAATCAAAAGTCTTGATTCTTTTACATTAAAACTCTGTAGTGTAGATACTGCTTCATAGCCTTTAGTTATCTATTGTTATAGAAGAGAAGATAAAGACTTTGTCCCTCCCTTTCACCTCTCCCTCCCTCCTTTCTTTCTCTCTCTTTCTTTCTTTCTGTCTTTCTTTCTTTCTTTCTTTGTTTCTTTCTTTCTTTCTTTCTTCTAATATTCATATGATTTTATTCTTTTAAATAAATACATTTATAATAGGAAAATATGTTAGTTTTTATTTCTTTTAAAAAGTACTTCATTAGGCAGAGGATAGGTATCCTATAGACCAACAATGGCAAACCTTTTAGAGTGTTTGGTGATAACAAACAGCTAGTGGCAGTGTGTGTGCCACTGATACACACCACTGCTATAAACCATGTAGTCAGCAGTGAGTGGTCAAGATACAGACAAATTATCTTGTCCAAATCATTCATAGAATATGGGTAAAACTGAACAGGACTATGTTATTACAGGGATCAGTGACGCTCAAAGATGTGACTATGGCCTTTACTCAGAAGGAATGGGAGAAACTGGATCCTGCTCAAAGGGACTTGTACAAGGATGTGATGCTGGAGAACTATACCAACCTAGCCTCAACGGGTAAGGACAGTCCCTTGCAGTTCAAACTGTGTTCATTATGTTGATTTCTTCCTGAAGTCTTTAATGAGTTTGGCTTCGATTTTTAGGGGTCAGAGAGGTTTAATCTCTTTTGGGTACAGGACAGGATATTTGTACCACTGTCTCCAAATAGAAGGTCTACTCAGTTGAAGGACATGAGCTTCTACATTGTGAAACTTCAGGAGCTATGTATTCTTAAAAGACCCTGAAGTGCAAACAGTAGGACTTGATTTCTGAGATTATTGTTCTAACACTAAATTTCTACCATTTCCTATGAACAGGGTATCAAGCTCCCAAACCAGACATGATCAGCAAGTTAGAAAAAGGCGAAAAGCCATGGTCAGGGAAGAGGAAAAGACCCAGTCAAACCCATCCAAGTAAACTAGCAAGACCCAAGCAAACAGGAGCCAGTGGAAGTAAGTTTTTGGTTTCTTGGTGATATCTGAAATTCTTCAAAGAATTATTTATTCTTAAATTCTTCTTAAAGACCACAGACAAGTTTTTCTTACCCAGGAAATAGCAGTGGAAAGATATAATAATCTCATAGGGAAAGAAGAATTCAAAGTACAAAGATTTCCCAAGCTTGGAGATTCTAGTATCTCTTCGTTCTATGAATTGGCATATAAGAGGTTCTCATGTGGGGTCAACTCTACTAGCAAGCCAGTGTTGATTATGGGAGTTTGATTATATAATTCCTATCAGTCAGCTTAGACTCAATTTTGCTTTTTAAGGAACAATCTCAAATTCCTCAGTTTACTGAGGACCTAAGCTGGAAAAGTATTTCCTCCTTGGCAAATTTTGGTCTCATAGCAGAGGGAAAAGGGAGTGATGTAACCAACCACATGATAGCTTTTGAAGTCACTGCTTATAACAGGGTTGAAATCCCTTCCAGCTCTCATTTTATTGGTCAGCAAAAGGCATCTGGCCACCACTGAGTTCAACAGGCTAGGAGTGTATAATCTTTCCATGGAGAGGGGTGCTGTAATTCAAATGGTCATGCATTAGGGAGGAACTGGAAGGGATTTTCCTTCCATAGGGTACAATAATACAATTCATTATACCATTCAGATTGTGACAGGGAAAAAGGTGGAAATCAGAGCTCTATACCTTCAGTACCAGCCCTTCAGATGCCTGATTTCTCCATGTAGTATTATTTCCTTTACCATGTGCTCCATTGCTCAGCTTGCAGATGACCTCTTAGCACTTCTCGTAATCTTATTCCTATTTACCTTATCTAAAGCAGTGGGTATTTTGAAAATTCTCTTTTCTTTATATGCGTAGTTTTCCTCTAACCACATTTCAGTTTCTCAAGGCATCAGGTTATGTCTGTATATATTCAGACATGCTTAGGTCTGTCTTATTTCCATGTATCTTGGCATGATGCTTCTGCCCTTGCTGACTTTCTATCTGTCTCCTCTGACTCTGAAATGCTCCAGGCCTATGGTCTATAACACACTGCCATGTTCATTTTCTCCTTATCCCTTAGAGTCAAGTTCTGCAGAATCCATGCTTCTGTCTACATTTCTGACTAAAGTTACCACTACTTACCTTCTGGTGCATACCTGCGCTTCTTGTCCACCTAATTACACCACTTTAAATATATCATATCCTCTCTCTCTCTCTCTCTCTCTCTCTCTCTCTCTCTCTCTCTCTCTCTCTCTCTCTCTCTCTCTCCTTCTTACTGGGGATTGAATGCAGGACCTTGTGTTTGTCCAGCAGGTGCTTGTGCCGCTGAGCTAAATCCCCTGCCTGTATCCTGTCTCTTAAGTGCTTCTTTACTACTTATTCATGATCTTTTCCTCCTTTTCACTCGGCTGAAGTGTCCCTAAGGTTTTGTCTTTTACTATCTGTTCTTTTTTTCTGTCTATCTTAAAAAGATCTTTATTATGCAAATGTAAACTCTTGATTCTACACTGGTGACTTATAATGAACATCTCTAATTCCTTTATAGACTCCTGTTTGCTCTGCTTATAGAACAATCAAACAGCTTTTAGAACAGTGTATTTGTTAAGGTGTTAGAAATTGAAAACTTTATCTTTATTTATGAATTAAGAGTTTCCTTTCACCTTTCCTGTTTTATCAATGTCTACTCTCATCTTCTATTCTGTGTCCTACAGGTTACCATACTCTCCTCACTTGCTTTTTGTTTTGTTTTTTATCAGTTCTCACATCACACAAATGTTCATATGATCTACCACGTCTTTTAAAATTTTCTTGGATCTTGATTTGTCTAAATTCCCATGAACTTCCTGAGACAAGAGAGACCTATCCTTTAAATGACAAATCAACAGGTTCCAGTGGAGTTTCTGAGCCAGCTGTTAATGACTACAGTTTTGGCCACCATGACTTTTCTTCCTGACGCATGGTGTTACAATGGAAAAAAGCATAGTGACATCTTTATCACTGCTAACTTTTCCTGGGTTCAGGTTTTTATGTACTTTTTGGAGATACTTTAAGAAAGGAATATTCTGTTCACTCCAATGATTTTCTGGGCCTAGTGAGTTCCACACTTTAGTTTCTGAAGTAAAAGTTGTTTTAGCTTAAAATCCATGTTTCACTTGCTATCTCAAATTCAAGAGAAGCTTCTAACCCTAATCAAATGCACTGCCAGACTCTACTCTCTCCAGTGTGACCCTGTTATTGTATCAGTTCTCTAGTTCAGATTTTCTTCCTTTCCCTCATGTGAATTTTTCTTTTAGTGCATTCTACCTTTTTTTGATAAGGGAAGATGTCAGCTGTGACTGGCCCAACCCATCATAAGAGATTCTTTTAACATGTCAAGAAGGCTTTGAGTTTTTTTTTTTTTTATTTAAAGAGAAAAACAAAACTAAACGAAGCAAGACAGTAAAAGGCTAGAAGCAACACAGAATTTCAAGAGAAAAAAACATACAGTAAGAGTTCACCAGTTAATAGATCACACATTATCAACTCACAAACAGCTGTCCAGATTACAAAATTAAAGCATACAAAGTGGAGATTAATACAGTGATATTGCAGTCAGTTCTGTTCAATGATCCAAGAAAAACTCAGCAATATGGTTCCCTTTCCTACACATTTAAATAAACTTGCAGTTATATCCTTGAGATCACTTTCCTTCCTCTTTTTTACACTAACAATCGCGCATTTTAGTTTCCATTACTTCCACAATTTTTTTTAACTTTTTCTTTGAAGAGGAAAAGAAAAAAGATTGAAAAAAAGGCCAAAAAACAAAAAACAAAACAAGACAGACCAAAGAAAAACCCAATGTGACAAAGCAAAACAGAGTCATTTAGATCAGGAGGATGGACATAGCATAAAATGAAGAAAAAAAAATAAATAAATAAAAAATAAGATAAAAAATAAAAAAAATAAGGGGGGGATTACTAGGTGATCAACAATGGTTACCATTATGCCTCTTGTTATCCTAAAAAGAGTAGCCTATATCAGCTAGTATAAAAGAATTGAACAAAACTGTACATAAGACCAATAAAACCACATTGGAGAGCTTACAGGATTCCAAAGAAGATAATAGTGAAATAATAATGGGCATCATAGAATATCTGGTTGCCTTCCAAATGGTTGCCTGTACCCTCAAACTTGATGCTATTAAGCGAAACAGAATATAATAAAATCAGTCAGAACAAGATATGGAGAACACTACAGGGGTTCAAATCAGGTTAATAGGGAAACAAAAAAATTTACTATAATCTATCGCAATATTTTTAATTTAATTTTCCCTTAGTTAAAAGATACTAAGAAATAAATTAATTTTTTTAAAAAAAAGGGAAGAAAAAGGTGGGGAGACTGAGATAAAAAAAAAAGAACGTGTCAACATAACAACACCGGTCAGAATCGAAAAATTTAACCATCATTGTGTTTCACCCCCAGATAGCTTGACATTAATAGTAGTTACCATAGTGACTCTTTCCTTGAAATATTTGAGTCTAACTTCGTATACTATAGCATCAAATTTATCAAGACAGTGTGAGACCATTCAAGAGAATGAAATTGTTGCAGGGAATTTAGAACCAGCTAGCAGAAACCAAATATGAATTTCTATATTATCTCTTTGTCTATAACAAACTTGCTTATACTATCACATACATTAACATATAGTAAGGTACCACATGTTAGAACCAATGGAAACAAATGAACAAAAACTTGATGGGGCTTCAAAACAGGATGATATTAAATCAGCGCTAGCTATTACGCTCTTATTCTCTTCAAAATAGTCATTTGTAGTATCACAGACAATAATATAAAAACACCCAAATTAAAACCATTCCAAGTAATGAGTGAAAACATTATATGGCTTCAAACCAGTGTGACAGGGAATCATGATTACCATGTACTTTCATGTATTCTTATCGTTTCTTACACTAGGGAAACTATTCGGTATTTATACCAGTGAGTTTGATTTATTTCACTTATAAGTATGGTCTCGAGCTGCATCCATTTATTTATAAATGTCTCAATGTGATCATTCTTTATAGCTGAGTAGTACTCCATTGTATAAAAATACCACAACTTTTTTATCCATTCCTCCGTTGATCAACACTTAGGTTGTTTCCAAGATCTGGCTATTACAAATTGTGCTGCTATAAACATGGGTGCACATATATCATTGTGGTATGATGCTTTCAGTTCTTCTGGGAATATGCCTAGGAGTGGAATAGCTGGGTCAAATGGTGCCAGTCCCAGCTTTCTAAGAAATCTCCAGACTGATCTCCACAATGGTTGCACCAGTCTATACTCCCACCAACAGTGCAGGAGAGTTCCTTTTTCCCCACAGCCTCTCCAACATTTGTTATTGGTGGTTTTCTTGATCTTGGCCATTCTTTCAGGAGTGAGATGAAATCTCAGTGTGCTTTTAATTTGCATTTCTCTAATGACTAGTGATGCTGAACATTTTTTCATATATTTATTTGCCGTTTGTATTTCTTCATCTGAAAATTGTTTATTCATCTCTGATGCCAATTTTTGGATGGGGTCTTTGAATTTTGGGGGTCTGATTTATTTTAATTCTTTGTATGTTTTAGACAGAAGTCCTTTGTCTGAGGGACAGTTCACTAGGATTTTTTCCCAGTTTGTGGGTTTTCTTTTCACTATGTTAAAGATTTCTTTCGATGTATAGAAACTTTTTAATAAGATGTGATCCCAGTTATTGACTCTGGGAAGTATTTCCCATGTGGTTTGAGTCTTGTTCATGAATTCTCTACCTACCCCTATGTCTTCAAGGTTTTTACCCAATTTGTCTTCCAATAGATTTAGTGTTTCTGTTTTAATATTTAGATCTTTGATACATTTAGATTTTATTTTAGTATATGGTGACAGGCATGGGTCTAGTTTTAGTTTTCAGCATATGGAGAGCCAGTTTTTCCAACACCATTTATTAAAGAGACTGTCATTTTTCCAGTGAACCTGTTTGGCCCCTTTA